TTAAGATTACGTATTGCTGTTTCAATTTTGTTTTTTCTTGCAGATATAATGCCGCCAAAGCATTGAAACGGGGACCCCACGTTTCTAAGTAATTAAAGTCTTGATTCTCATCGTCGGTGCCTAAAATAGAAGAAAGCAGGAAATTTGTTAGCAAAATAATTTGTTAATTGTAATTTTATCAAAAGTTAATAAATGATTTTTTTGTTTTTTAAGGCAAGGTTGCCTCTTAGGTGTCCATAAAATTATGTCTATGAATTTTAATGAAAGAGGAAATTGAAAGTGATTATATTCGGCTAATCGTTTCACATAAGAAGTAGAAAAGGTTGTGATTTTGCCTGTAAGTGGTGTAAAGGCCAAAAAGTTTTTAAACAAACAAACATACTGAGCGGAGCTGTATAGACGGATGGGGCCGACCATACGATACCCTACACAACTACCACATAACTCTATCTTTCTGCGGATTTTTATTCCGAGCCTGGGTAATATTTCGTGATATTTGCAACCTCTTGCCCGATTAGAGGTCAACAGAACCTCTTCCTTACACTGACATATATTCCGAATATTACTAATATTCAGTGCATCTCTTATAATTACTTGTTCAGATTCCCTTCACCATGAGTTGTGATGTTCGGCTAGTCGAAAAAAAAAACACAAACAAATTAAGTTTTCCAATTCTTCCCAAATTATTATCTGATCATCACCGACAATTGTAGGCGTTGTCCTTGACCACAACTGGATCCTCGTGGAACATTTCAAAGCGATCAGCGCTATATTTCCGCCCTCTAGTATGGTAGTGGGTTACTGAATAATATCTCACTATGTAAGCACCAATAAATATTTAAGTGTATCTCCCACATCCGAGTACACACAACAATATAATTGGTGCCAATTTAAAGGGCAATCACTCCTCTTGGATATATTATCAACTCCTCGGGTCTATGTCCTTCAGGGGCAAATATTAACCGATCTTTACCAAAAACAAAACTGTGGGCTGTATCGTGTTTACAAATTATAATGGACAGACGGACGGACACACATGTCTAGATCGACTCAGCTAGTCGAGATATGACGATCGGTTACAAACTTTTGGGGCTACACAAAGTTATTATACCCTGACAACATAGTTGCGTAGGGTATACATATCGTCGTTATGTTCGGTTTACATTTAAAATGCTTGTAATCGTTGGAGGACTTAGAGTTATGCCATGGTAACTTTTTGGCAGGAAGATTTAACACCCAATAAGAGCCAAATACCCAATAGTGTTGGCCAACAAATGCTACTATGGTCTAAGTAAGTAGTTTAGAAACAAGTCCACTTCTCGCCAGATCAAACTCACTCTCTACAAGACGTTAAGACTGTTGGTTGTTGTATGGCTCTGAAGCATGGGAACTTGCGCAAGTAGATGAGGCAGCTCTTGAAGTGTTTGAGAGAAAATTTCTTCGAAAGATCTACGGCCCTATCTGCGTTGACGGTGAATATCGCCGTCAAATGAACCCTGTACCATCTATTCTCGGACATCGACATAGTCATACGTACCGAGCTGCAGCGGCTACGGCTCTAAAGGTATAAAAAACGATAATGGTTAATGCTGAAGGGGAAGGCCAAGGCCAATTTGATGGAAAGATCAAGTGGACGAATTGGAAAAGCACAAGACCGACGCGCTTGGCAATTTTTGACTCGCTTAACTATTCATCAACGCCCAGACGAAATGGCTGAAGCTACAATCTTAAAATTTGCGGTGAGGGTCGGTCTTGGTCCAACGGTGTTAGATAAAGGCTGGGATTTTGGAAATACTTTTTGAGAACTTGAGCTGCAACGACTAAGTTGCCTAGGTCATGTTGTGAGAATGGATGAGGATGGCCCAGTTCAAAAGGCATATAAAAGCAAGCCAACTGATGGTTCACGCAGAAGAGGAAGGCCACGAATTCGATGCAAAGATCAAGTGAAAACAACATTTCAAAAAATGGGTTATAAAATTGGAACTGCGCACAAAATCGACGGGCCTGGAAATATATTTAGACTCGGCTTATTAAACAAATGTTCTGCCACAAGCCAGCAAAGTAAGTAAGATGCATTAACATATGGGAACCAAAAAAAAAAAAAAAAAAAATCCCCAAATAATGAATATTTGGGATAACCTTATATGGAAGCTATATAAAAACGTCGACTTATATACACCATTTTCAATACCAAAGATTCTAGGAGAAATAGAAATGCATGTGTACATTATAAAAGTACTATATTAATAATACCATCTATATCGTGATTTCGGACAGCCCTACGGACGAACATGGACATATATTAGTTTGGGGAAAAAGAAATCCATAATTATACCCTTCACCACACTGTGGTACAGGGTATTATGTCTTTGTGCATACGTTTGTAACAGGCAAAAATAGTCGAGATAGACCCATGGTTCCATTTGAGAATATGCACATAATCACTTTCTGAGTCGATTTATGCATGTCAGTTCGTCGGTCCGTCTGTCAATGTTAAATTGTTAACAAAGTACAGGTCGTATTTATGATCCGAATTGGATGAAATTTGTCACAGCTCATTTGCTTGGCCCAAGCACGAACCCCATTGCAATTGGGACCAATCGGTTAAGATTTAGATATAGCTCCCATATACATTTTCGTCCGATTTATTGTAAATGGTGTACCAAAGTCTCTATATATCTGTCGGTTTGCAGGAAAGTTGGCACAGCGTAATAAATAAGGTCTAGAATGATGTGTGCTAAGTTTCCTGAAAATCGGTTCAGATTTAGATATACCCCCAATATAGTTTTGCCAGATTTTAGGTAAATAGTAAACTAAAGTCCTTGGAAATCTGAATTAAGTGTAGAATGATGAGTGCAAAGTTTCGTGAAAATCGGTTTAGATTTCGATATAGCTCCCATATATATTTTCGTCCGATTTTATGTAATTGGTGCACCAATGTCCCTATATATCTTTCGATTTGCACGAATTTTGGTATATGGTACTGAATTATGTCTAGAATGATGTTGCTAAGCTTCGTGAAAAAATCCATAGCTAGGCCGATTGACACAACGTAGTGAAGTAATATAAATTAGTCTCTGGCAAGTTTCCCTGAAATCGGTTCAGATATATATATATATATATAACAAAAACGCGACGCCTGTTAGGATACATATGTAGCATATACCCAAAGTGGTGAAGGGTATCATATAGTCGTCCCCGTTCGATTTTACTACTTTCCTTACTGGTTTCTATATGAACTATATGATTTTATTAAACATGCTTCGCAATGTCCGATTTGGGCACCGTATTGTTGTATGATTTGTTGCCACTTTTAAAGTTAACTTCATAATGCCTCTCTCATAGAAGTCCAGCTCTTTATTTGCAAAAAAACTCTAGAAGTCGATTTTCTATATACCAATTTTTAATCATTAAAGAAATTTAGCAATACAAGAAGATGATGATAGTCGCTTGGCGCCAAGCCTGGACTGTATGGCGGATGCATTAAAAATTAAAAACTTCCCAATCAAGCTCCCGAAGTTTTTAGCGTGTTACTGTAGATGGGTGTGGCCTAGCGTTCTCCTGGTGCACCCGAACCTTTTCCTGTTGACCAATTCTGGCCGTTTCTAGTCAATTATAAATGGTTTAAAACAGTTTTATGGTCGATTTTTAGTTCCTGGGCGATTTCGAACAGTCGACTGCGGTCAACTTCGATCATTTCTCCGATTTTATCAACATTTTCGACGACTGGCCTATCTGTAAGAGGTGTATCTTTAACATTAAAAGTTCTTGAACGGAATCTACGAAACCAAAATTGCACATAATTGGCTGTTACAGTATCGGAACCACAAACACCATACACACTTGGATTGTATTTTCGTAAAAGGTACCGAATTTTCTCCTTGTTCGCTTCCATTGTTAACACCCTGTAACTCACAACTGAATGTACCAAACAAAAGACAGCAAATATTTTTTACCTCGAAATGTCACCCTTCCAACGAGCAGAAATCTGAAATTGTTTGATTGATACTTTACGAGAAATCTATCAGTACAGCCCACTGCCGAAAAAATAATGGATTTCTTTTTTCCCAACCAATATATTCGACCAATTTCGCATACTGGTGCACAGGAACATATGGTATTTTACAAGAAGTCTTTATATGAATAAACTGGAGGTTGTCTTTTATTATTTTGAGCTTTTTTTGGTATCCAATGTACCAATGCCCGTTGGATCCCACCTTGTGGTTTGCCCCCTCAAATGACCAATAATATTTAAATTAAAAAAAAGCTTGGCATGTCCATATATTTATTCCAATCATTTGCCCCAATTTTAAAAATTATAAATTAAAAAAAAAACTAGTGAGCGGAGCAGTATAGTCGGACGGGGCCAACCATATGATACCCTACACAACTACCACGAAAAGTAAACTTTCTGCGGTTCTATATTCTGAGCCTGGGCAATATTTTGTGATATTTGCACACTTTTTACTGATTATAGATCTTGAATATTGACCGATCATCATCTAAACAGCCGCTCTAAGTATTTGGTCATATCCCCTTCACCTTGTAAAATATGTGGTGTTCTGCATATAATAATTGCCTCTGGATCGACTAGAAAATCTGACAAAAATTACAGTTTTCGGTTCACTGAATGAAATCTCAACTTCACCGCAAACTATAGGCGTCGTCCTTGACCATAATCGGAACTTCATGTACAATTTCAAAGCGATCAGCGCGACATTTCCGTTCTCTAATAGAGTAATATCAATACTATGCACATAGTCACCTTGACCTAATTACGTATAAGTCCCACATCAGAGTATACACAACCATATAATTGGTATCAATTTAAAGGTCAACAAATCCTCGTGGATATACGATCAACTTTTCGTGTATATGTCCTTCAGGAGCAAGAATATACGCCCTAGAATAAACAGTTCGTAATTTTTCACACCGAAGTCTGGGTCCATTTGACCCGCTAAATATTGACCGATCTTTATGAAAACAGGCATGCTTATTCTTTTGCCCGACACCCCCCTCCATGTAAAATTTCACTATGTTCGGACCATAACTGCGGCCTCTGGAACGCCCAGAAAAACCGACTAAATATTAATTTACCAAAAACAATAGGGGTCTTCATTGACCAGAACCCATCCTACATGCCAAATTTCGTGAAGATTGGTCCATAACTGTGGCCTGTATCGTGTTTACAAATTATAATGGACAGACGGACGGACGGACACACATGTCTACATCGACTCAGCTATTTGAGATATACTTAAAAGTGGGTCTAGGACTAATATTTCGAAGGGTTACAAACTTTTGGGGCTGCACAAAGCTATAATACCCTGACAACAAGGTTGTGTAGGGTATAAAGATGCTTTAAAAAAATCAGTGCTTTGTCACATGTTTTATAATTTTTTTTCATATATTTAAGAAAAACTTTAACACATTTTTCATAAAATTAATTAAATTTACAATGTAATAACAGTGAACTTCATAATAATTTATTTTCCATAAAACCAGCAAACATCACCATCAACAAGGTCTTTTATAGCATAATCATAATAACAAAACCCACTGCTTATTAAGTATACTTTTCATCTTCGTTTTCTATGTAATGAAAGGGAAAACAACAATGTCGGATTTTTTTCTCACGAAATCATTGGAATACTTATACAAATGCACTGCTTGTTAAATGGCTAAAATTGCTATGACGTTCCATGGAACCCTTCATTCGCACCATGAAATCTCATAAAAATGCAGGTTTACATCTTTCAAGTTATGAGTGGAAAAAGTAGAGGAAAACAATAGCCAACTGCACTTACCTGATGCTAACGAACTTAAGGACTCCGCTATGCTCCCACTCCCCTCATAGGTAAAATTACGCAAATCATCGAAAGGTGGCGCATTGATGTCTTTATCACAACGTTTTTTGCGTTCCTCCATTAAAAACCCCACATTCAATTCCTGACCGGGCATCAATGTCACAACTGGATCTGGAAAGTAGGGCGAAATGCAAAAAACATAAAAAAACACATATACACACAATCAAAAATGGTAAAGTTAAATACGTAAACACTCCAATGCACACATACACACACATATATACATAGAGTATGTGTGAGAATATGCGAGGGTTGTTGATTATGAACGAGTAGAGGAGGGTCCGTTGTACGCGGTAAACAGAAATATTTTAAAAGTCACAAACAACTTGTTGTTCATAAATTGAATAACAAACAGTGGATTTTGTTCTTTATTTCAAGGTTTTTTTTTTTTTTTTTGAAACAAAAGAATTGCGATGCAAATAAAATCGCATGTTCTTGTAAATAAAATAAAATTAAGCTTTAAAACGAGGCAAATTTTAAGAAACATAAAAACCAACTCCTTTTATTGAATGTTTGGAGGAATCCCAAAGGAGTTTTCTACAGAAGGTAAATATATTTTCCTAACCTTCAGCAGAAGTCATCCCCATATCAGAACGAATGTTTTTTTCTTGGAAGATCTGAATATCTTCCTTCTTCTTCGCATATAGAAGAGCTGAAGGTCTTCTCATATAGAAGAGCTGAAGGTCTTCTCATATACAAGAGCTGAAAGTCTTCTCATATGGAAGAGCTAAAGGTCTTCTCATATAGAAGAGCTGAAGGTCTTCTCATATAGAAGAGCTGAAGGTCTTCTCATATAAGAGCTGAAGGTCTTCTCATATAGAAGAGCTAATGGTCTTCTCATATAGAAGAGCTAAAGGTCTTCTCATATAGAAGAGCTAAAGGTCTTCTCATATAGAAGAGCTAAAGGTCTTTTCATATCGAAGAGCTGAAGGTCTTCTCACTCATAGAAGAGCTGAAGGTCTTCCTCATAGAAGAGCTGAAGGTCTTCCTCATAGAAGAGCTGAAGGTCTTCCTCATAGAAGAGCTGAAGGTCTTCCTCATAGAAGAGCTGAAGGTCTTCCTCATAGAAGAGCTGAAGGTCTTCCTCATAGAAGAGCTGAAGGTCTTCCTCATAGAAGAGCTGAAGGTCTTCCTCATAGAAGAGCTGAAGGTCTTCCTCATAGAAGAGCTGAAGGTCTTCCTCATAGAAGAGCTGAAGGTCTTCCTCATAGAAGAGCTGAAGGTCTTCCTCATAGAAGAGCTCAAGGTCTTCCTCATAGAAGAGCTCAAGGTCTTCCTCATAGAAGAGCTGAAGGTCTTCCTCATAGAAGAGCTGAAGGTCTTCCTCATAGAGGAGAGGACTTCTTATGGAAGACAAGGAGATTTTCTTATGGAAGGCCAGGAGGTCTTCTTTAAGAAGACCAATATAGAAGACTAATAGAAGGCCAATAGGTCTTCCTGCAGAAGAACAATAGGTCTTTTTATGAAAGACAAGGAGTTCTTCTTATGGAACACCAGGAGGACTTCTCATGGAAGGCCAGTAGGTCCTTTTATAGGAGACCAGTAGGTATTCTCATAGAAGGCCACGATGCCTTATTATAGACTACCAGGAGGTTTTCTTTTATAAGAACAAAAGGACTTATTTTTAGTAGACCGGGAGGTCTTCATATAGAAGACCAGGAGCCAGCAGGTTTTCTTATATATAACCAGGAGATTCTTAAAGAAGAATAAGTTGTCTTGTTATGGTGGACCAGGAAATCATCTGTAGAATCTGTAGAAGGCCAGTGGCTATTTTCATAGAAGACCAGGAGGATTTCTTATGGAAGGCAGTAATTCCTCTTTTATTAGTAGCAGGTGTTCTTTTAGAAGACCAGGGGTCTGTTTACAGAATCCCAGGAGGCCTTCTTATAAAAGTATTCTTGTAGAATATCAGGAGGTCTTCTTATTGAATACCAGGTTGTCTTCTTATGGAGGATCAGGATATCTTTAGAGAAAACCATGAAACAAATAGGTCCTCTTATAGAGGACAAGTAGATCCTATGTTTTATTTATGACTAGTACGACTTCTTATAGAAGACCAGGATTAAGAACCGTCTTCTTAAAAAAACACCCGGAGCTCTTGTTTTAAAAGACCAGTAGGTCTTGTAAAATTCCATGAAATATTTTATGGAAGTCCTGGAGGTATCCTTATTTAATACCAGAATGTCCTAAATCCCAAATTACAGCCCATTGAGGAATGAAATTCAGCTATAAGCTTTAAGCCCTTGTTATGGGGTTCTATTTGCAGACATGTGTCTATATTGAGATTTTTTTCAAAAATAAGTTTTGTACCCACTAAGAACCTCGACTAACAAATTATAGTCTATTGGATTGAAAAATATGGATGGGATCATCACAGAACCTAAAACTTGGCGGGACTTTTATATACGGGATGGGACGGACATACATTAATACTCTTAGGAAATTTGATATTCGAAATGGGAAATATGGATCCATGTTTTGGTATACCTCCATAGAACGGTTTCACGACATGTTCTGTATCATTTTCTCACCGAAGTTACAGTAATATGGCATTCCAGGTTTGCGGAGTTTCAAAAATATATATTTGTTAATATCTCCACAGATTTTGATATTATACATAAGATCCACATTGTGCAGGGTATAAATGTTCCGTAGGTTGAACTTATCAATGTCTTTACTTTTTACAAATATAATTTTCCACTAGTACCACTGTCCTACTTCGGCATCAGGTAAACACAAATTGAATTGTGGCAATAACAGGTTTGGGGTAGTGGCGGGACAGCAAATAAAATCCGCTTTTTAATATTTTACGTGCCTTTTTAAGATATAAACGTTAACTTCTCCTTTTTGTAAACATCAGCAACAATCTGGTAAAGCAAATATACAAATATACACATTCTAACAGAAATGTCAATAACAAAATACAAATAAACAACTTAGTTACCCATACTCGCACACATATACACACAACTCTGCAGAGGAGTCTGCCGCCCAATCTATCTCGAACACACACTCTCAAATATATACAACAATAAACAGCACATACCTATTGCCTCTCTATATACACCTACATACACACACACAGACAAATAGAAATTATACTCACATATTATTGGCACCTTGCAGGCAGCTATATCCGGTGGCATTGTACCACCCTGTCCGATCGGTATCTGCAGCGGTGTTATATCAAACGCTGTCATATCATCCTCGCCGCCACCCTCATCGTCGTAACTAATCACGGTTTCACGTACATCTTTTTCTGGGCCGTTACGTTTTTTATTTGTCGTTTTACGTTTACGATTGTAGAGAACGAAGATAAGTGCTAAAACTGTAACAGAAAAAAGAAGAAAGAAAAAAGAAACAAAAATGAATGAAGGAATGAAAGGAAGAATGGACGAGCAGAGTAGAGTGTTAGCCAACATGTTGTCGTTTTGTGTCCACAGAAAAAAAAGAAAACAACGAGAAGAAAAGCCCAAAGGATGTGAGTGCCAACAGATATGGCTGGCAATGGATATCTGTTGGTGTCCCATTGCTAACGGCTAACAATTGTCAACTGCTGACTCGGTTGTGTCATCTTCATTGTGCCTTGGCAAAATTCTTAATTGTTTTATGGTTCAAATGTGAGTAAGTGTTCTATAACCAAAAAATCTTTTTTTTGCCATAAATCAAATAGCAAAAATATGTGTGTGTGTCTATGTGTTTTTTTATTAAAATACCTAATGAGTTCGTTAGCCAACGAAAATTCAATAATAGCTGCCAACACGCGGGACAACATCATTATTGTTACCCAAAGATTTTATCATTTAATAGCATTTTGTCTGCCATAAACGTTTTAGAATTTACAGAAAAAAATAATGAAAAATCCAAATTCATGGTAAATTGAAATTCGTAGACTTTTGCACTTAGATTTGTGTGGGATTTTTGAATTGTTGGCGGGATTTTTCTTGTGACCTTTTTTATTTATAATCCATTTTTTTTTCGTTTAATTTCAACAAACATATTACAATGGAGCAGATTTATGGGTGGTAATACTGTTTCGTATTCCAAATAATATTTCAATGTCATGTTGTGCTGGAATGTTATGAAAATCATAATTCAGCAGATATATAATTCATATATGAATTTTATTTTTTTTATTATATTGAGTTCATAATTCTACGGTCTGAATATTGTGAATGTAAATAAAAGTTGAAGATTTGTATTGAAAATCTGTCTGACACGACTTAATTTGTTGCGTTTTATATTTTGACATTAATTTACTTATGGATTTTTTTCTTAAAAAACACTAAGGAAAGATTAAAATTGAGTCGGGGCCAACCATATGTTACCCAGTATTGGTATATACAAGAGATGCTCCTAGGATTATTATTGTTAGGTACTGTAAGATATATTTCAATAAAAACCAAGTATAACATACGTCCTCATCTAAAAATTTTGGTCGAATATGTACAATAACCTGTCGATAAAATAAACGTGGAACCATCATCATGGGGGAACACTGACTTGAAATCGGCCAAAATTTAATATTAATTTTGGGAAAAAGAAATCCACTATTTATATATGAATTATAGGACTTTATTTAACATGCTTCAGAATGTCCGATTTGGGCGATTTGGGGTATGATTTGTTGCCATTTTAAACGTAACTTTATAATACCTCTCTCATTGAAGTCCTGCTCCCTATTTGCAAAAAAAATCTAGTAGTCGATTTTCACAATCCTCCCTAGATAACAATTTTTTATCATTAAAGAAATTTTGCAATGCAAGAAGAATATGATAATCGCTTGGTGCCAAACCCAGACTGTATGGCGGATGCATTAAAACTTCCCAAACAAGTACCCCAAATTTCTGGCGAGTCACTGTAGGTGTGTGTTGCCTGGCGTTGTCCTGATGGAACACGACACCTTTCCTTTTGGCCAATTCTTTGTTTTGTGTAAATTATTTAAAACAGTTTTATGGTCGATTTCTAGCTCCTGGACGATGTTATGACTCTCAACATACCGGCCAACTTCGATAATTTCACCGACATTTTCGACGACAGGGCTACCTGTGAGAGGTATATTTTTAGCATCAAAAATTCCTGAACGGAATCTACGAAACGAAAATTGGACATAATTAGCTGTTACAGTATCGAAACCATAAACACCATTCACAATTTTAGCCGTTTGGCATGCATTTTACCTTTGTCAAAGAAAAACTGTAAAATGTACCGAATTTTCTCTTTGTTCACTTCCATTTTTACCACCCCGTAACTCACAACTGAATGAAACAAACTAAAAACCGCAAACTAATTGTTTTTACTACGAAATGTTACCCTTCCAACGAGCATAAATCTGAAGTTATAGTCCTAATATAATTAATTCACAGGTTGGGTTATACTAATTTCAGTACGTTTTGTTCTTTCAATCATATATTGGTTCCTTGGTGTGTCAATTACTTAAAATCAATCGATCTATGCAATATTAGAACTTTGGTGCATTATTTACATTAAATCTGACGGAAATATATATATATATATATCTTAATCTGAACCGATTTTCACGAAACTCAGCACACATCATTCCAGGAAACTTGGCATAAAGCACTCTAGGCTCTATTAAGTACGTTATGCCAAATTTCGTGCAAATTGAAATATATATAGGCACTTTGGTGCATCACTTACATAAAATCGGACGAAACTATATATGGGAGCTATATCTAAATCTGGACCGATTTTCACGAAACTTGGCAGACATCACTCTAAGCTCAATTAAGTACGTCATGCCAAATTTCTTGCAAATCGAACGATATAAAGGGACTTTGGTGCACCATTTACATAAAATCGGACGAAACTATATATGGGAGCTATATCTTAATCTGGACCGATTTTTACGAAACTTGGCAGACATTATTCTAGGCTTAATTCATTACGCTGTGCCAAATTTCGTGCAAATCGAACGATATATAGGGACTTTGGTGCACCATTTACCTTAAATCGGACGAAAATATATATGGGAGCTATATCTAAATCTGAACCGATTTTTCTCAATTTCAATAGGGTTCGTCCCTGGGCCAAATAAGTGAACTGTGCCAAATTTCATCCAAATCGGATCATAAATGCGACCTGTACTTTGTTCACAAAAATACATGGACGGACGGACGGACATGCGTATATCGACTATGGGTCTATCTCGATTCCTTTTGCCTGTTACAAACATATGCACAAAGACATAATACCCTGTACCACAGTGTGGTGAAGGGAATAAACATGCTACAAAATAGGGAAGGTCTTCACACCTTGGATGTGTCCTAGTTCATATCAAAGTTATGTAGATCCAGGATAAAGTTATAAAATATGGTTCCCATTTAGTAACTAACGAATTATGAAACTTTTCGAGTAATAAAAAAATATTGTTTAAAAAATCCTCGCCTTGAAATGGTCTTTGAAAAAATATTGTTTAAAAAATCCACGCCTTGAAATGGTCTTTGAAAAAATATTGTTTAAAACATCCACGCCTTGAAATGGTCTTTTCAAAAATATTGTTTAAAAATTCACGCTTTTTGTAGGCCTTAAAGAATCCTCGCTTTTTATAGGGCTTGAAAAAATATTCTTCATAAACTTCAAACCTGTGATAGTCATTAAAAAATCTACGCCTTTTATACTCCTTGAAAAAATCTAAAGTGTACTTAATTGTCTGTCTAAGGACTTCATTTCAGCTGACCTCCCCCGTTCCGCTGTGTTCACATATTAAAATAAGTACCACTTGTACAAAACACATAATCCATATCACCATGATCCATTATTGCACAAAGTTTAATTATGTTTGATCTTTTATTGTTTAATTCTAACAGGTACTCACTTTGTTTGATATGAACAACTTATCTACAGACCGACCGACCTATCTATTTATTTGTTTTGTACTTTTGCAATTGTCGTGAATGAAGTTTATTTTTCTATGCAGTTGACCTGATTGTTTGTTTTTGTTGCTGTTGTGTGGCTGGTTTACCTTGCAGCCTTTTGAAGTTTGTTCGTGTTCGTTTTGTTAATGCTAGACCTGGATAAAGTTTAACATCTATTAAAAAATGGGTTTTGTTTTTCTAATTTTAAACTTAGTTTGTTGTTGAGTTTTTTAAAGCTAACACTATTATATTGTTTGGGCTAGCTATAGTGTTGTTTGAAGTTTTTATTGTTCTAGTCGTTGTTGTTGTAGTTGGCCTTAAGTGAAATTCTTAAAGTGTCAATATGCTAGATATATACACTCGAGAAAAAAACGAAAATAAATATAACACGATATGAATAACTTCATGGAAAACTAAAACAAACAAGTAAAATCGTTTTTATATTCGTCCGCGCCAAACTATAATTAGGAAGTTTTAACATCTAAATATAAACTAGAGCCAATACGGATGAAAAATGTGCCGGGAATACCGAACTATTATATGGGGCACATAATGAAACTAAGGTTAATATTAATAGGTTCTTGGTAGAATTTTTTCTATGAAAGTTCAAAATACTGAATTACGAATTTGTTTGCACAATTGTTTGAAACTCTGCCAAAATATCGAAATTTTAGAGGGCAACCGTGAATAGTGGGCCAACACAAAAAACTAGCACGAGTTATTCAATGATATTTTTAAATATTAAATTATAGCCAATTCGGTAAAAAAAACTTGCCCAACATATTCACATCATAAGAGTTGTGGAAATGCATGGGCAATACTCTATCTTAAATAGTGAGACTTCTATTGTGATTTCAACGAACATACAGGGACATGGTTCATTAAAACAATTCTTTAATAGTCCTCGCTTCAAATAAACTCTGAAAAACAATTTTCTAAAATAATACGCTTCTTGGAGGCCCCGAGAAATTTTATTTAAAAAACACGTCAAAAACCATCACAAAAGCCACCCTTTATATAGTTCTTGAAATAATATTGCTTATGAAATCTACGAATCCTACGAGTCCTTGAAAAAACTATTCCTTATAAATCAACGCATGTTGTAGTCCTTGGAAAAATCTTTCTTATAAAATCTACACAAGTAATAGTACATTGAAAAATGCTTTTTATAAAATATCCTTATGAAGTCCACAAGTCCTTGAAAAGATATTGCTTTACAAATCCAACCCTATTGATGTCCTTGAAAAATATTGCTTTACAAAATCCACGCCTCGTATGGATGGTCCTTGAAAAATATTGCTTTACAAAATCCACGCCTCGTATGGATGGTCCTTGAAAAATATTGCTTTACAAATCCAACCCTATTGATGTCCTTGAAAAATATTGCTTTAAAAGTCCACGACTAGTGAAATCTTAGAAAAACTATTCTTTTATAAATCCACGCCTATTG